CTGCCTGCCTGCCCTGGCCCCACACCGCTCCCAGAAGCAGCTGGTTGCTGGTACGTCTCTGCAGCCCCTGGGGGGAGGCGGCTCCGCACACTGTCCCTGGCCCCAGCACTGTCCCCGCAGCTCCCATTGGCCAGTCCATGGCCAATGGGAGCTGCGGGGGTGGTGCTTGTGGGCATGGGCAATGCATGGAGACCTGCTGCCCCCCACCCCTCCCAGGGGCTGTAGAGATGTGCCAGCAGACAGCCACTTCCAGAAGTGGCATGGAGCCAGGACAGGCAGGCAGCCTGCCTGAGCCCACTGCTTTGCCGCTTGGGAGCTGCCTGTGGTAAGCAGCTCCTGGCTGGAGCCTACACCTTGCACCCCCTCCTGAACCTCACCCCAGCCCCCACCTGCATTCCAACACTCTGCCCCAGCCTGGAGCCCCCTCCTGCACCTAAGCCCCCTCCTGCACCTAAGCCCCCTCCCAGAACTTGCACCTCTCACTCCTGTACCCCAACCTCCTGTCCCAGGCTCAGCCAATGCACACCTCACAGTTGAGAATGTTACACTGATTTGTGACAATCCCTGAAGGATTTTGGATCTATAAACCACAAATGACACTAATAAAAAGTAAAACTCATGAAATGTCCAGTGGATTCTATAAGATTAGGTGTAGTTTGACCATATAACCACTGTACCCAAACTCCCTCCCAGAGCTTGCACTCCTCACTCCAACACCCCCGAATCCCCTGCCCCAGGCTCAGCCTGGAGTCCCATCCCACACTCTGAACCTCTCAGCCCCAGCCCAGAGCCTGCACCCCAAACCCCTGCCCCAGCCCAGTGAAAGTGAGTGAGGGTGGGGGAGAGTGAGTGATGGAGGGAGGGAGGAATGGAGTGAGCAGGTCGGGGCCTCGGGGAAGGGCCAGGGCCTCAAGGAAGGGGCGGGGTAGTACCTGGGTCAATCTTAAATTCAAAAAGTGATCTTGTGTGTAAAAAGATTGGAGACCCCTGTTATAAGACATTCAATTTGTGAATACCTGGAGGATGAAGGGGTGATCGCTAGCAGCCAGCATGGATTTACCAAGAACAAATCATGCCAAACCAGCTTGATTTCCTTTTTTGACACGGTAACTGGTTAGGTGGATAGGTTGGACAACCACAAAGAAAGAGTAACTATTAATGGAATGATGTCAGATTGGAATGAGGGCTCCAGTGGGGGATCCACGGGGATTTGTTCTAGGTCCGATGTTGTTTAACATGTTTATTAATGACCTGGATGTAGGAATAGAAAGCATACGGATTACATTTGCAGATAAAAAGCTAGGGAGAATAGGTAATCTGAGCTTTCTTTTCATTTTTAATTGTGATTCTAGACATTATGGCAAAAAAAAAAAAAAAGACGTGGCAAGGCAAATCAAGTGTAACTGATGCAGAGATGTCTGCCTGAGTATGCAGGGAGGCTAAAACAATAGCTCTGAGAGGGATGAAGTGCCCCATTCATCTCTGAAATTTCAGTTGTGATGCCCTATGGAGGTCTATGCTGATCTGAAACCTTAACTTTGTGTCTCTTCTTTTCCCAAGATATCAAAAGAAGAGGGAAGGTCCTCTCATCGATCGGTAACTGGTTAAAAGATAGGAAACAAAGGGTAGGAATAAATTGTCAGTTTTCAGAACGGAGAGAGGTTAATAGTGGTGTCCCCCATGGGTCTGTACTGGGACCAGTACTGTTCAAAATATTCATAAAAGATCTGGAAAAAAGGAGTAAACAGTGAGGTGGCAAAATTTGCAGATGATACAAAACTACTCAAGATAGTTAAGTCCCAGGCAGTCTTCAAAGAGCTACAAAAGAATCTCACAAAACTGGGTGACCTGGCAACAAAGTGGCAGATGAAATTCAATGTTGATAAATGCAAAGTAATGCACACTGGAAAACATAATCCCAACTATACATGTAAAATGAAGAGGGTCTAAATTAGCTGTTACCACTCGAGAAAGTGATCTCGGAGTGATTGTGGATAGTTCTCTGAAAACATTCACTCAATGAGCAGCGGCCGTCAAAAAAGCAAACAGAATGTTGTGAATCATTAAGAAAGGGATAGATAACAAGACAGAAAATATCATATTGCCTCTATATAAATCCATGGTACGCCCACATCTTGAATACTGCGTGCAGATGTGGTCGCCCCATCTCAAAAAAGATCTATTGGACTTGGAAAAGATTCAGAAAAGGGCAACAAAAATGATTAGGGGTATGGAGCATCTGCCATATGAGGAGACATTAACAAGACTGGGACTTTTCAGATTGGAAAAAAGACAACTAAGGGGAGATGTCATTGAGGTCTATAAAATCATGGCTGGTGTGGAGAAAGTGAATAAGGAAGTGTTATTTACTCCTTCTCATAACACAAGAACTAGGGATTGCCAAATGAAATTAACAGGCAGCAGGTTTAAAACAAACAAAGGGAAGTATTTCTTCAAACAATGCGCAGTCAGCCTCTGGAACACTTTGCTAGAGGACGTTGTGCAGGCTTGGGTTTCTTTGAGGAATATTGGGAGGCTGGAGATGGCTAGAGGTGACGGAGATTTGTTGAGGATCATGGGAGGATGTTGTGTGTTGGGAGGGCTGTGCTGTTCTCTTGTGATGGTTTGTAACCGATGGCCAAAGGTGCCTAGAGACTGAGTTAGGAGCAGCTCCGTGTGTTTGTTTATGATTAAATGAATGAATTAAACATGATGCTATCTGGTAAAAGGGAGAAAAAAATGGATCCTTCAGAAGTGACAGCTGTACAACAGCCAATAGATAGTCACACAGCTGAGGAGCAGGAGGGCTTATCTCCAGGAAGTGATTGTCAATAGAAAAGATGACATACTGAGGGCAGAGTGGCCAGATAAGAGCAACATCAAAGGGGGTTTGGAGCAATTTCATGGCCTCCGGACCTGCAACCTAAAAATCCCCACAAGGTAAATTCATCTTCTTTCCTCCTCAGGGAACTGTATAAATAGAGGGATTCTTCCCCCTCATTCTGCAGAGGAGCACCAGTCTCACTGTCTCTCCGTGCCTCTTCTCTGCCGTGACTCTGTGATCCAGCCAATCTTCAGCCATGAAGACCCTTTACCTTCTCTTTGCTGTTGCTTGCTTGGTTTTCCATTTCCAGGCCAGTCCCACACCCGTTCCAGAGAATGTGCCACAAGATGAGCCTGAAAACCTGGATGCTGTGAAGGATGATGGGATAGGAGTGGAAGATGTTCATGTTGCCAAAGGTAAGATGGAGAAATATGTGTTTGCCATACCTTGAATTTGTGAATATAAAAATCACAGAGTTTTTTTTTTGTGCAGATTCTGATGGTCAGGCCAACCCTATGGTGTGCTCGTTTTCTGGTGGTAGTTGCAGACCATCTTGCTGCATTGGTAAAGAAGTGCAAATTGGAATGTGTTACCCAGGCGTAGTGTGCTGTATAAAATAATGAGTGGAGACTGCAGAACTCCAGACACAGAATTCAGAGCATCCAGACAAAATGTGTCCATACATATATTTATCAAGCTGTTCTGAAATCATGTTCCTATAATTAAAAATAATCCTTGAATTGGTAGCACTATGTGTCTGTGTGTTTATTTCTCCAAGACAGGATAATTAATAAGCCTGGGTATTTCGGCTCTTTAGAAACCTGAGTAAATTCGCAAGTCTGGGTTTATCGGAGGCAGCCACATGGGGTCCTCCCATGGAGAGAGATGTAGCCTGTAGGGCTAGCCTGCTTGCATGCCTATATATCTTTTCTTATGGATTTCTTATTTTCTTATGGGTTGGATTATTTGTTTTATTATAATAGGTTTCTAGGTTTAACTTAAAGTATTTTGGCTGTAACGCAAGGGACCTACAGGCCACATCCTGTATGTTGAACTAAGGCAAAGTTAGCATATGTATGTCTGGGACCTCTTACCCAGATAGCAAAGTTAGCATACATACGTTTGGGACCTTTCACCTCGGTAGGCTGTGATGCACTAAAGCATAATGTCCATATATGGCTGCGACATAGATAGACAAAGGATGCGTTGAAGCAGGTTGGCATAGGGGGCTTCTTAAGTTTATACCCTCTGTAAATTTAACAGGTACACCACAAGAAAAAAAACTGAAATAACCAGGTAGGACAAAAATAACAAACATGAGAATGATCTAATGTCTTTAATATGTATATATATGTCATCAATATGTACAAACATACTAGCCCATGGAGTAAATGTACCCTAACATTTTGTGGGTGAGGAAGCTATATTTGGACATAGGAGGGCTCAAGTACTCAAGCTCTATAAGAGGGGTGACCCACCATGCCAAGGAAGCATCTAAGTTTCTAAGCTTCAGGATTTCTAAGCTTCGAGCTTCACGTTTCCCGGCTTCTTTGTTTATTAGTCTATTAGTTCTTAATTGAAGTTTTAAGTCAGTTAGTTAAGGAAAACTCTAAGTTAGCTTTGATAGCTCTTTAGCTTCTCCTAAGCTCTGCACCTCACATTCAAGAATTGAGGAACCTGGACCTGAACTCTCTTGACATGCCAGAGGTGAGGCTGGTCCTTTGTCTCTTCCCACCAGGTTATCAAGGAAGGGTGTGAGTATATTCATCAAAAGCTTTACAGAATACAATACCATATGTATCTTTAGAATAATAGTATTGCATTTGTAACTCGGATTATGTTAACATTAAATTACTATTTGATCATAATTCCATTTATCTCAATAAAAGTCTTTAAGGCTATATGTGTCTCAGTGTGAGCGTCCTTGTCACACCCCCGAGGGTCCTTGCAAACGCTGATTCTGGGACAAGAACCTCATTATCTCCTGATAAGATTCACTGGTGAGCCTATAACTCATACCATCCAAATGAGTAATATTAACCTCCTAAAACCAGGCACCAGAGGGAAACAATGGAACTTACAGCTGCTTTGTCATTTCTGTGCAGCAGCAAAATATTGTTCCCTCCAGCTTTTCTCCACAAACCGGTTCCTATCCCCCTGCCCTTGCCTTGGTCTCTGTAGGGTCCAGCCCTGGAGGGACTTTTCTTTACTGGGAAAAGGTATTGTGTTACCAAAGGTGTTAATGCAGGGGTCGGCAACCTACAGCAGGGGAGCGGATTCTGAGTGGCACGCTGCCTGCCCGCTGAGAGGAGGAGGAGGAGGAGGGGCGGAGGGGCCAGAATGCACCACGTGCGGGGGCAGGAGGCAGAAGCTTGGTCCTGCGGCAGCCATACCACCCCCCCGTTTCTTCCCACAACGTGGTGCATTCCTGCCCCTCCTCCTCCTCCTCCCAGAGGAGCAGAGCCCAGCAGCAGCCTGCTGTCTGCTCCCTAGAGCCGGCAGAGAGAGGGAGGGGCCTGGGGGAACAGGGCATATCCCTCCCAGCCCACTGCCATGAGCCGCTCAGGGCACCCCAACGAGCGGAGCATCCCAGCCCTCTGCCCTGCACCCCCCCACACCCATCCCTCTGCCCTGCACCCCCCCACACACCCATCCCTTCTGCCCTGCACCTCCCCACCCCAACACACCCATCCCTCTGCCCTGAACCCCCCCACACCCTCTAGCCCTCTGCCCTGAACCCCCCCACACACCCAGCCTTCTGCCCTGCACCTCCACCCCCCTCTGCCCTGACCTCGAGTCCCCCCAACACCCAGGCCTTTGCCCTGAACCCTCCCACACCCAGCCTTCTGCCCTGACCTCGAGTCGTCCCCCCAACACCCAGCCCTCTGCCCTGACCCCCGCACCCAGCGGGCTGAGCAGGCTAGCGGCGTAAGATCAGCATTTTAATTTAATTTTAAATGAAGCTTCTTAAACATTTTGAAAACCTTGTTTACTTTACATACAACAATAGTTTAGTTATATAATATACACTTATAGAGAGAGACCCCTTCTAAAAAAAGTTAAAATGTATTACCGGCACGCGAAACCTTAAATTAAAGTGAATAAATGAAGACTTGGCACACCACTTCTGAAAGGTTGCCTACCCCTGTGTTAATGTATTAACAGGGAAGGCAGTGCAGCCTTGTAATGAGAGCACTGGTGTGGGACATAGGAAACCTGGAGTCTATTCCTGGCTCTGGCCTTTGTGTGACCTTAGGCAAGTGACATATGTGTTGGGATCACCAGGGTATGACCTGGAACTGGGGTACCACTGTATCCTCTTAACTCTCCAGCCTGGGCTGTCTCTCACAATGCTTTGCTAGTGACAAGCAGCAAGCCCCTCCAGGCGCTGTGATCGCTCAGCACAACAGTATGTGGAACCCTCAGTTGAAGTCTTTCTCTTCCCAGCATTCTTGTTGCTTCCAGCATAGTTGGGGGAGGAGAAAGGCAAAGGCATGATGCCACTGTCCCTAATTTTATACACTTAGTCCATGTGCCTGGAAAATACAAGCCAAGACATGCCTGGTTAGCCTGGCTGAGTCACATTGTTGAGCAATCTCCATTGTGTGGTCTTGTGCAATTGTCATTGAATTGTAAATCCCTTGTTTACTATTCCCCTGCTGGTCAATGCCCGCCCAGGAGGATTGGCCACCTCCTTTGTTGTTGTCACTGAAGAACTAGCTTGGGCTACTCCCAAACTCACGACATATTTCAATAACCACAATGCAGCAAAATCTCATAACTTCATACTCACTAATTATATACATATTTTGACATAACAATGGGTTTCAGCAGATCATGACCTTTCCTATGATATCTTACATGGCATGCTTTGTATGAAATATCACAGCCATATATAAATGATGAATATGGGAGTTACAGGATGCTACTTTGAGGCACAGTGTTTCACAACATCACCTCTCTGTGACTCAGTTTTTCCATCTATAAAATGGGGATAATTATATTGACCTCCTTTGAAAAGTGCTTAGGGTCTACTGATGAAAACTGCTAGATGTAACAGCTATGTCTCATAAGAAATAACAAGACATGAAGTATAGACAGGACCTTTTGTGTCTAGACTCATATGAGTCCTTAAGCTCCTAACACATGTTTTAAGCACGATAGCCCCTGTCTTCATGGCATGCTAAGTGGTGGTAAAGATTGTTCCTTTACTTCCCAGAGTAGAACAGCCTTGCCTCATATGGGTTAATTTTCCTCCAGGACTCCAGGGGTCATATTATTTAAGAAAACACAAAAGTGGGCCTACTTAGCCATGCTTCACCCCAAAACCAAGTTTCACTCCCAGTAAATTATGCTGTCATTCATTTTAGGCTTGGGCTAATTAGGAGAACAATAATTGTTTCCCCATAATTGGTCCCAGCCATAATAGTAATTGTGGAGATGATATAGTGGGCCACATTACCCAAT